TTCTGTTATTAATGCACTTCTTCTTGTTTTAGCAGTGTATCCAACCAGCCTGAAACAGCTGTTGATGCGGTGAGTGAATCCGGAGGTAAACCACCAATCATGACGTCACTGGTAAGTTCTGAACTCTGAACATCTCACTTTTGTTCCTGTTCATAATATAGTGTTGTGGCATATGCACGTCTATAATCATACGAGAAGCCGACCTGCGTACCATACATGACATCCAGACAGCATTACTGTTTTGTTTCATCAGTTCATCGTGCTCGACAGTCATGTGATCAAATGACAGTGGGATTTGTCGTGCACATCATTCAAGTTGGTGTAAAGATGGTGAAAAGGCAGTGAGCTGAGACAAATCTCTCTGAAAGCAATACCCTGGATTTGTTTGTCTTGCAGGGGAGCAGCAGTTCCTCAACCACAGAGTACACTGTGCGAGTCCCCAAGTGAGTAACATGCAAATAGAAGTGAGAAGTGTGTTTACAAGCTTCGTCCACACCCTCACATGTCAGCAGTTTGTTGTGTATATAACCTGAAAAAGAGACCTCGAATGACCACCGTTGTTGCTTTTTCCATGTAGGGTTTTTTGTGTACTTCTGTGGCCACACAGGTTTCCTAAAAGAAAGTGATATTAAGCATGGCTTTAACACGCATTTATCTCTCCAAGCTTCATTTATTCAAGTGTATGTGTGTATCTGTCATGATTATAGTCAAATACGGCAGATGCCCTATTATGGGTTTAGAATTCTTTTTAATGCAGTGGACTATGTAGCATGAGTTTAATCAAATCTGCAGTTTGTTGCAATGAGTGACTTAATTTTTTCATGATGTTGAGGATTATTTAGATTATTTGACAAGTTGTGATTCTCTGTCTGTGTTCTTTTGTGGTGATGTTGATGCTGATGTGTGCTTTCATTGATAGAAAGTGATTTATTGTGTTGTGTAATGAATACTGTTATACTGATGGTGTGGATGTGAGTGAATGAATGGGAATAAGCAGGAAAAGGTAATAACTTATTTGCTCCTCTGTTTGTCTGTACCTTAGAAACACTAGCAAGAAGTACAACATAATGGCCTTCAATGCAGGGGACAGAGTCAGCTGTTCATCCTGGACACAGGTGGGCGTCTTGTCACTTATTTCTATACCTGAAAAAGCTCAAGGTACCACTTGGCGAGGCCAGAGTCGGCATGAGATGAGAAAAGGCGACCGGTGTGATTGTCCCTCTTCCATTCCAGGCTCGTATGGAAAGAGACATGAGTGCTCGGCGGATATACGGGGAGGAAGAGACGGCGGAAGGTGCGGCAGGTAGCGAGTTCGGCAAAAAGCAGCGTGAGGAAGCTCGGCGGAAGAAGTTTGGTATCGTGACTCGTGAGTTCAAAGTGGAGGACCAGCCCTGGATTCTCAAGGTTAACGGCAAGGCTGGCAAGAGGTGAGATGAGAGGCTTTACTCTTGGATTCAGTCTTGTTTTCACTGTCCTCACAAACACCAAAAGTGTCTTCGTATTAAAACATTTCCTTACTGAAACACACTGCATACTTACACAAATCATAAGCCTGAATGTCATAAGATTATTACTATTTGCAGGCGTTCCTTAGGACAGCTATTTGAAGTCTTTCCAGGGTTTTAGATGTTAAAAAAATAGAAGCACTTAGAGGCAAAAATATGTCTTACACTGTTTACGGTGTGATGACGAAGTTACATTTGCAAAAATAAATAAATTTTCAGTCGCTTTATCTCTACAAGGAGTCTAAAGTGTTTGCAGTGCAGCCACTCTCTCCCTCTGTGTTTGTTTCAGGTTCAAAGGACTGAAGAAGGGCGGCGTTACAGAAAATGCGTCCTACTACATCTTCACACAGTGTCCGGACGGTGCTTTTGAGGCCTTTCCCGTTCATGGCTGGTACAACTTCACACCGCTGGCCAAGCACCGAACCCTGACTGCTGAGGAAGCAGAGGAGGAGTGGGGCAGGTGAGAGGTCGGACAGAGAGGAGGGAGGAGTGTTTATGTTGAAAAATATCTACCCAGTTTTGCAAATGTCCCAAAAGCTGTTTGATATTTTCTTCTTTTTTACAGGAGGAACAAGGTGGTGAATCACTTCAGCATCATGCTTCAGAGACGCCTTCGGGAGCAGGAGCGCGGTGAGGATGATGAAGATGAGGCCGATAAATCCGGGAAGAAGAAAAAGAAGAGTGGTGGGAGAGGGGGCGACCTGCGCATTCACGACCTGGAAGATGATCTGGAGATGAGCAGCGACGACAGTGACAGCAGCATGGGAGACGGTAAGGAGACAGACACAGGACAGGGCTCAAGGCGGCCAGTTAGACAGGACTATTGTAGGACATATTCATTATCTCCTTCCCTGATTGATCGTCCAATTTACTTTACTTTCTTTATTGGACAGATGGAGAAAGCAAGACCAAGGCGAAGAAAGACACAGGGAAAGGAAAAGGAAAGAAAAAGAAGCGAAAGAGCAACGACAAGGAGGCCCTGGAAGACAGCGATGATGGAGACTACGAGGGTCTGGAGGTGGACTATATGTCTGATGAAAGCAGGTCAGCTCCATCACGCTGTGGCACAGAAAGACTCTGCCTTCATGGACACTGTATTTATGTTGGTTTTGTAAGTGGGATTGTGTTTGTTTTAGTAATGTGTGACTTTGTTTTCCTGAATCAGCTCAGAAGAAGAGCCAGAAAAAGGAAAGCCCAACAAAGGAGGGGAGGAACATCCTAAAGGTCAGATCTATTAATTATTGAATACAAAAAAGTCTGCAAAATACATACAGTGTGTGATTTTCTGTGTGTATAATGTACATATTACTTTATGTTACCCGTGAGCTTGACGGTGTGTGTTTGTGTTGACATTATTGCCATATAGCTGCTTATTAATATAAGAAAATAGAAATACTTGTTGGTGTTTAGGTTGTTTTCTTACTAAACGTTTGCTCTTTGTAGGGATCGATGAGGCGTCTGAAAGCGAGGAAGAGAGCGAGGAGGAGAAACAGAACGAGGAGGAAACAAAAGAGGAGGAAGAGGAGGAGGAAGGAAAGAAAACTCCGGTTCAAGTGGAGAAGAAGAAGAAAAAAGGTGAAGGCGGTTTGACACAAGGCGTACTGTTGATTGAAGTCTCACAAAATATGATGCGTAAGGACTAAAAAGTGAAATTTTGCTGAGCCGTGTGGTCTCGTACATCACAGACAGCAGCGGGGAGTCGGACAGCTCGGACGACAGCGACATCGAAGGAGAGACCGCTTCTGCTCTGTTCATGGTAGTTAGTGTGTGTGTGGCTGAATAAATGGATAAATGTACTTCTTGCTTCAAACTTTTCACTTTTATTATGTAATTTTTTATGATTAGTGCCACAAACTATCATAGTACTCGTAAAATGATGAATATTTATTCGCGCTGTGCAACAAATTCCATGTTTCGGAGCTTTTAGAGGGATTTTATAGTGGTGGTGAATGATTAAGTATCAGCATTTTTGTACTGCTTCTTTCTTAAATTCTCATCAAACACTTCTTTTGATCCCCGTCTTTTAGAAGAAGCGCACACCGCCGAAGCGTGCAGGCGGTCGTGGATCTGCAGGCAGCTCCAGGACCGGCAGTCGTCCCGGGACGCCGTCCATCGACTCGGCTTCCACCTCCAACACGCTCCGTGCTGCTGCCAGCAAGCTAGAGCAAGGTGTTCGCTCACAAAGCAACACAAATCTTAGAATGCGAGTTTGAGCAAGACAGATGTTTTAAAGTCTGAAGCTCGTCTGTGTTGTAGTTCCATTGCAACTAAATCTCCCCTTTTTGCAGGTAAGAGACAGACTCCGGGTCCTGGCACTGACTCACCAGCAGCCAAAAGGCTTAAGATGGAGCCCAGCAGCCAGAGCCCTGCTCCTTCTGGGAAGAGCACACCTCAACCCCCTTCAGGCAAATCCACTCCTAGCTCAAGGTATTTTCTTCTTTTCTGCCTCTTCCACATTCTTCTTCCTGGAAACTGTCAGATATATCACAGGTGACAGAAAAATACAATCGGATGTTTAATTTAAGCCTAAACAAGCCTGTCTGAGTGAGTTTCTTTTCATGTGCGTCACAGTGATGTGCAGCTAACGGAGGAAGCAGTCCGCCGCTACCTGATCCGCAAACCGATGACCACCAAAGACTTGCTGAAGAAGTTCCAGACCAAGCGCACAGGTTTGAGCAGCGAGCAGACTGTCAACGTGCTAGCACAGATCCTCAAACGGCTCAATCCGGAGCGCAAAAACGTAAACGACAAAATGCACTTCTACCTCACCGAGTAACTGAGGGAAGAGAGGGATGGAGCGGTGGGGGTGGTAGAGGGAAGGGGAAGGGCTGAAAATGAACATGTTTGGGTGTTTTCATAAAACTCTGAAGGTCGTCACAACGCGTGCTGTGACACGAACATGGCATGAAGCTGGAACTGTCTTCCCAAGTGGTGATTTTGTCAAAAAAAAAGTATTTTGAATTTGTTTTTCCTAGTTTGATAATCTTCCATAAGTTGACAGAGACCTTGTCAATGAGTGAAAAACAAATCAGTCTCTGTGTGGTTTGTCTACGTGTGTAAACTTAGAACTGGATGAATACAAAAGACTTTAACTGTTTTTTTCTTAGGTAGAAACTTTTGTAATAAAATTTACTAAAACACATTTGCTTTAATTATTATTCAAACACTAGTCTGTAGAAATGTATTTTAAGACATGAACACAGTAATAAAAATGCTTAATATAGAAAAATAAAAAATGTCTGAAATGTTAATTAGAAATCTGAAATATGAATCAAGGGGTTTAAAAAAAAAAATCAAATCATGTTTTTGACATTAGACTAAATTTATACATCTGTGTTTCAAGTATCGTAATGTGACTGATTAATGTGACAAAATAACATCAGAACTCAAACGTGTAAATAGAACAAACTAGATTTGTTTCCAGCTCCATCATGTCATAGTTGGACACAAACCAGTCGCGGATCACCTTTATAGCTGGAAGGACAGAAACAAAAACAGGCAAGTAATGCAAATAATCTTTCAAAGCTCTCATTTGCAACCATAGACTTGTGTCTTGCATCAAGGCCTTTTGTTGTTTTTACCATGAATTTGTTTGGTGCTTCATCTGTGCTAACTGGGGATGTCACCCACTGACATTATCAGCAAGATATTGGCACCAAAATGTAATATCTGTCAATACCGTTAAATATATAAATATTTTTTGCCTATAATGAAAACCAGTAAAATAAAGCCTGTATTCTCCCAGCATTTACCAGCACGCAAATGATGACGACATCAAACTGCGTCGTGAAGCGTGCAAGCAAGTGTGGCTGCAGTAACAAACATGTATCGGTGTTGTTATCGGTTGAGAGTTGGACAATATTGGCATATTGGCAAAACAGCCAATGTCGGGTATCTCTAGTGCTTACATGTGTGTTGGATGATTCTCACTTGTGCGTTTAGGTGGCTGACCTGAGTGGGACCATGTTTCTTGAACGCAGCTTTTGCTCTGCTTGACAACTCGGTCATATTTAAGTACACATTTTTAATGTTGCATTTAATTGCACTTCGGATAGATTGAGTCGTTTGTGTTGTTTTGGCTTTTGGAGTGATGACCAGGCTGTAAGCGTGAGCTAACGATGATGATGACGATGTGCTGCTACCATCTACTGGTCGCCGTTTATCTTTGACTGAAGCTGGGTGTGGATCATTGCACAAAGCTCAAGTTACAATTTCAGAAAAAGGTGACAAAAATGAAATCATTTTAATCGTTTCTTGTAGTTTGTTGGGGAAACGCATCTCCTTCCTTCAGTGAATAAATCTGCAGGTTTCCAATGAAGTAGATTTTACATTTTTTGGGAATTAAAATTTAAAGATATATACGCGTAAATTGTAGAAGGAAGGAATTTTAGCGTCTAAAAGCTGTTCAGGAAAGAAACAGCTGTGTACAGTTGTCTTTTACATTTATTAATAATCATCAGATTTCAGGTGACAGCCTTCACTCAGTGAACCAAGAAGAGCCTTTGTTGCATTCATTTTCCTTTTATTTGGTAAAGTGCATTGAAAAATCTTCACAAAGAGTCTCTGTATTATACAGAAGTGGAGGAACACACCAGGATGATGGTATTATAGAATTAAATAGTTCAAAGTTAAAGGACCTTCCCTGTACTTTTATGTTGATGTTTCAGTGTATGTATAAACAACTATTTAAATCGACTTAACGCTGATATTTGCTCCAGCAGCAATAAAAGAAATGGATTTGACTAAATATGGCCCTTTGTAAAGATGTTCTGGTGAATGTAGTCAGTCAATAACCGGCTGATTCAGTTAATTATGAGTCTTAAACACATCCACACTGTGCTGGTTCTGTCTGACAAGGCTTCTTACGGATCGCATCTAACTTCTCAATCTTTTTCAGTGTGGAGCGTGTCAAGTGCAACAAATGTCAGCTTTAATTCCTCATTTAAGATATTAACCAAAGCTCCATTTATGTTCTGTTGTTATCCAAGCTGAGACAAAAGCGGGCGTTATTCCGGGAGGTTGCGACAGATGACGGAGATGCGGCGCTGCCTCGGCACTTTCTGTCCGTTAAATACAGACTCCTCATCCTTCAGGATCTCGTGAGTGTAGCTGAATCTGGCCTGGTCTCTGTACAGGTGTGAGGAGAACAGGATGAAACATTCCACTGCAACTAATGTGTATGGGCATTTGCAGGATTTAAGACATAATCAAAAAGTTAAACATGTTATATTCAATTTAAATATATCGTTTGCTGCTGTATTCACTGAACCTCAGTATGTAGAGGGAGCGTCTGGACAGCAGCAGGTCCAACCACTCGCTGGGGTCGCCCTCCTTCACTAAACGCATGATGCTGTCCGACAAAAGGCTCAAGCCAGCAATGGTGCTGCCACAGAACTACAAATTAGAAAACAGACAGACAAAATTATAACAAGAGCGCAGTCCACACAACCTCCATTTGCAACTGTCAGTGTCTGTGGTCTGGTAAAATAGAAGTCCACCTTGACGCTGTCGATGTGAGGCTTGATGTATCCGGCTTTGTCCAAGTCTAATATGTGCACGGGGCCGAGGAGCGAGCTGCCCTCCGGAAACGCCGCCGATCGGACACGAGTCAAGATCTCCTCGCACGCCGCCCCCCAGCTCACGCGCTCCGTCTCTCGGTACCCGTGAATGGCCTGAACGTGAGCACAGTGCAAATAACTGCAATACATTCATGAGCTAACTTTGCCTTGAGAAACAATATTTAAGGACATTTGTTAATATTTAAGGAGAGTATTTTTGACAAAAACTACCTTGAAATTAGTCAGGAATGTAGTTTCCAACTAGTTTTGTGAATTTCACAGCCTGTAAGTTCAAATATTTGAAATAAGAATTCAAACTCTATCCATGCATATTATTTTAAACTGGTGCATCTATTGCACGCTTATGTTGCATTCTTGCTTAATTTCAGATTTTTGTCCATTTGTTGTTCATAACAATCATCGTTGCTTTTCTTGGCTGGGACACTTTTGAAAGTGAGACTTTTATAACATCTGAAATCGGACAAAAATGAGAACCAGGTGTCGGGTTTGGATGTGAAATGTGTGATTTACACCTGTTTCATACTCGTGCAGTCTAATGAAATCACAATTTTAAACAATGCAATCAGCAACTTGCAAAGTCTGCAATTTAGACTCTATTTTTTGCAGCTGGTTGAAAAATTATACTGCATCAGTTATGGTTGAACAATGTGACGGGAATATCCAATTATGATTTTTATTACAAATATAATATATATTAAAAGCTTCAGTGTGTAAAGATTTAAAGTGTGACAAATGGTTACTATATGAGACACCATCACAACATGGACTTCCCTTTATTGTAAAGGTTAGAACTTAAAAACATGCTTTAAATGTGTATTTGTTATGTTTTATGTGGCATAAAAGAGAAAACAATTCAGACATGAATATGAACAAATCAGAGAAGCTGTGACTGCATTAAGTTGCATAAATATAGAAAATCTTGTGAGCGTTCTGTAAACAGCAGCAGTGTACATTCTACATCCAGTTAAAGTCATGATAATATCTGCACTGCTTAATGTACATCCTAAACTGTGGCCTTTTTGCTCGTTGTACTGTTTCAAACTGCAGTTTTTGATGTGAAATTTAATATCTGTTGATCCGTTTTACATTTTACTGAAAGGGGGTTTCTGAATTTTCAGTCAGGGGTGTACAAAATAACAGAAACAGCTCTGTGTAGAATGCACTAAGAGCTGCATCCTTCAAAAGTGAGTTTAAACTTTATCTGTTTTATTTCACCGCTGCACCTGATAAACTGGAGCCTGAGTGTGTAACACTGACAGGAATGATGGAGAGATGTTGGTGTGTGAGCAGCAGCAGCATCTTGGCCTGTAACTGGACTGAATGAAGCTTAGAGTGTGTTTAGAAGGTGACCCTGCAGCTCCACATGCAGCAGCTACAGGTAAACATCAAACTTATCCTCCCTGTTCATCATGGAACCCGCTAACAGCGTCACTCACATCGTCCCAGTGGTCAAACTCGTAGCGCTTCCTCTTCAGACCAGGCTCCAGCTCCCGCAGAAAAGCAGCCTCCTCCTCCTCGGTGATGAAGCCCGTCCTCACCTCCACCTGAGAGCCGAGTCTGTGCACCAGCTCCCGGCTGGACCCGACGACCAGAGGCTCGTCCCGGAGCGGCGACAGGCCGCTGCTGGCGCTGGAGCTCAGGGGACGCCGGTGACTCGAATAAACGGCTGGTTTGTGGATTTGTTTTAATATTGTCACCAAAAGTTTCATCTTCCTTCGAGAAATCTTGTTCTACAGCCGAGTTACACGGTTGTATTTAAGTTTAGCTGCGTTTTGGTCCCGTTCGCAGAAGTCAAGCTGTTGTGGGGGGCGCCATCTTGGAAACGCAATGCATTACGGGGGGTGTAGTCTTACAGCAATAAAACGCACGAATAAAGAATATCTGAACAATAAATATTTTTCTTAAAAACAAAAATAATGACGAAATTATTTTTTTCTTTATTTTATCTATTTATTTTTATTTTATCAGGAAAAGGCTCATTGAGATTAAAAATCTCTTTTTCAAGAGTCTCCTGGCCAAGACAGGCAGCAGCACAACAGACAGACAGACATCATACTCATAACACATGGTGAAATTAAATTTAGAAGATAAGAAATCAACATATCAGCAGAGATCAGAAATGGAACTAGCAAAAAATAATCATCTGTCAGAACATATATACAGACTGATATTTCTGCCTCCAAGTCATTTCAGAACACTTTGAAAGTGTTTGAAGCGACCAGCTCTTGACGTTTCAGGTCTTTTTGCAAAGTTTTGGTGGCAACAGGATAACCTTGCAAAAAACAACACTTTGAATTGAGGAAATGTAGTATGTAGTTTATTCTATGACACAAATCATACTTCCAGCATGACTTTAATGATTCGGTGTTTGTACAATTTTCTTTTCTTTTTCGTCTTTCTTTCTTAAGAAATAGTCTTATTCTCTACAATTTATACAGATGTGCATTTATTCATTTAGGTACTATCAAAGGATCGTCATCTTGAAGCAGCCCACAATGGTCAGAGGTGGTGATTTCTTTTGCTGGTTCTATTCTTGCCCAACAGCTTGTGTCAACATATGTGTTTGTATTTTATGTTAATGTGCTTGCTTCCAGGCGTGCATGCAAAGCCACAAAAGACTCTGACTGAGTGCCAGCCTCCCTCCTGCTCTCTGGTTTCGTATGGCTTTGGGATATGAACGCACAAAGAGACGAGTGGCGATGCAGAGAAAAACGCCTGGATGCACACGTTGCAGTTCTGGTCTCTGAACAGAGGAGGGCAGGGAACACCAGCGATTATAAATGCACTCAGGTTAGTGGTTCACCTGCTTAAAAAAACACTTGCTGGGCTGGTTGTTGGAATGCATGAGGAGTGCTGCAGGGAGTTTTGGTGGGTCCATTCACATTTGTATTGTAATTATTAGTTTGCTAATAATATAGCTGTTTATCATGATGCTATTGATTGACAGCCTCCATTATAATTAGACAGAGGGCTGAAATCTAGAGAGCAGATTTGGAAAAAAAAAATATCCGAATAGAAATCTATACATACATAAATAATAAGGAAAAAAAAGAAACTGACATAAAAAACTGAAATAGAAACCAAAAAATAGACAGTAAATTAATAAATATGCAAAAAATACAATATTCCCCATTTGCTACGTCCCCTCTGAGCCCATTGAATGACAGGTGGGAGAACCCATTTGAAAAGGGGTTAAAAAAGAAATGGAGTAGGAAAGAGGGAGAGAGTTCTGAGAGCAGATAAAGTGGTGACTTCATCCTCACTGGAGATTCCCCCAGAAAAAAAAAAATACTGCTGGCCTACTTACCACTAAAGACAGGTTACCGTCCTCACTTTTCTGCTCCCTCTTTTGCTTTGTGTCTAGTTGACGTCTCTGGTTGAAAGTGACAATTTCCCTCACAATAAAAAAAAAGAAAGAAAGAAAAGAAATCAGTGGATTTTAAACTCTGCATCAAACAGATCAGGCATGAAAAAAGGGAACTGCCAGGAAGAGACTAAGAATCAGATGGAGAAGGAAGGTTTTGCTTGTGTAGGAGCAGCTTCCTTACCCTACTTATGACTAGGTTAATAATTCTTGATGTTTAAAAATGCATTATTTATGCTTATTTCATCAGGCTGGAAACTTCTTAAGTAGGTATGTTTTCCTCTTATTGCACTTTAGTCCATCCACCTACAAATGTTGCTTTTGGTCCATGTGTGCATTAGCTTCTACTTATAATATCCAAATGCATTCTCTGTAATTCAAATATTATTCGTTGGTCTCGGTCACTGAGCATCCACAATAAAACGAACTCCCCCATCCTCCAACACACACACACATGTAACTGATGAGATGCCCATTTCATTGTTGGATGCCACGCTGCTGCCCCCAGCATCTCATTCATCCAGCCATGATGAGTGTTTTGGGTTCATATTTAAATTCCCAGTTGGTGCACTCGTTTAAAGCCGCCGTGATTCACCGGCTTATCATCGGTCAGCTTCTCCTGGAGGCATCATTATGTCTTCTGTTGAATCATGCGATTAATGTGAAAATCACCAGAAAAACACTTGGCAGTGGTCATTGTTTCCCAGGATGCACATGTGTAACCTGTGTGGCATTGCTGCAAAACCCCAAGAAGCCAGAATGCCATAGGACAGTGAAAACAGCATCATGATCATTTTATATGAAGGATAATGAGGTTGTCATGATGAAGGAAAGGATGTTAGGTGGACTTTAGGACACATATATGGCAACAAGAGCAGCGAAAAGGAAAACTCAGGCTCCTTTTTGTTTGTTTTTCTCCTTGATTGCTCACTTCATGTCAGTGAGTTCACTCTGCATTATTACCACATGCTCTGTATCCTTCTTGTCTAGCTCCACCTGTGGTCAAGAACTGGCATGTGTTGTAGGAAAACAGTGGAATAAGAGCCTTAAATGGTACGTCGGTGTTGATTTAGTTTGTCTACCACAACACACCCGTGATTCCCCGTTCTGGAATCGCATGTTTTAAGTTTTCTATAGATGGACGCTTGGATATTGCCTCATTTTTCACTCATTTTGTTTACAACATGCAAAACAGCACACTCGATCCACACTATAATCTGGGATTACCCGATGTTTAGCCACCTTTTGTTGTCTATGATGTGCAGAAGTTTACATGAAAGTCTGCCAGGGTCTGTGGAGGACCGAGTTCAGCAGGGGCGGAGTGCTCTACATGCATCCAGCCATTGAATTATTCAGCCTTATGAATCATTGAGTCACGACACTCCTTTTTAGGCCCTCGCCTCAGAGCTCCAGCCTCACAGCTACCCACTATTTGAACATCTGACAGAGGAAGGGAAAACAACAGAGAACCATCCAGACACTCTTTAAAATCTCCAGAGACGGAGCGGCTGGTTTTTTAAGCATGTTGCGGTGGAAACCCGCGATTCTATCTTCTTTTTTTTTTTTCTGGTCGGCGAATAATCCTGTTGTGATTATTCATCATCCCTCTTTGACTAAAGTCATTAAAAGTTAATTACTTTCTCCATCCAGTTGTGCAGAATCATTGCTTTATTTGCAACGATGTGGTCGTCGGCCCTGCGGCTCCCCTCGCTAAGATTTTAGCAACCAAGCAGAATGTGAAACATCACCTGAAGTTAATCAGCATTCTGTCGGTTTTATCAAAGAGTCCTGCTGTCATGGGACTTTAGAATCTTACTGTAATATGAAGAGGGCACTGGCAGGAGAGAAAGGACATGATGGACTTGAATTCATTATGTGACAGATGCTAACAAACCAAACATCTCGTCCCTCCTCTTGAAATCTATTATTAAGATGAACCCGTTGTGAACTCTGATATTAAAGTGAGGGTCACTCCGGAGGCAGAGGGGTGTGGTTTCAGTCCTGCACCACTGCAGGACAAGGATAGCCTCACAATTAAATCCACTAGAAACTCAAACAGTGTCTCTCCTATAGACACAGTGCATGTGTTTCCTGTGAGGTAACCATGTTTTATGCATGGACGGGCCTCGGAGTTGGTGCCTCTCGTGCTGGCTGTGTGGGATAACGGGTTTGGACAGAAGGCTGCTGCTCCTCAAAGGCTCCAGCTCTGAAGGGCAATAGATAATTTCACAGATCATCACACCCAAGCGTAAACACACACACACACACACACACACACACACACACACACACACACATTTGTGAATGCACACAAGATGCAGCAACAATTTTTCAAATCAAAAATCGAACAAATGGCAACATCATTCAAATGCGGCAAACTTGCACAAGACGGAAACATCAGAACAGCTCCAGACTTTAATTATCTCAGTAAATGACAAACACGCCCGACTCAAGAGGATGCACTGACAGCAGACAATTGATAGCAACGTGACTTTTTTTGATATTTACTGACATTATAGGACCACATGTTAATATATTTTAAAAGGCTTTGTCCCACCCCGACTACTTCCTGTTCATTTTTCTTAATTTGTCATGTCGTGTCTGTGGATGGATGGATGTTGTGTTGTTAATACTTTAGGATTCCTTTATAATGTTGCAGCAAAGAGGCTTAAAATATCTCTCTTAGACATATGTTTGTGAGAATTGTTATTGCACTTACTAGCCATTAATCTCAACCTTAAAACCAACTTGTCAGACAATCCTGAAAATGATCCTACACATACATGTGCACATATTCGTGTCACATCAGTAGCCACGCACGTCTTGTGTCATATTTACAGTTTTTTCTTCTTTTTTCACTGTCATTGAACAGTCTATCCATCATCTATACACCGCTTAATCCTCACTGGGGTCGCACGGGGGGCTGGAGCCTATCCCAGCTGACTCAGGGTGAAGGCAGAAAGATCCCAGGTGTCCTCTCATTGCACAGTGGACAACTACATTAAGCAGCTATTTTATCAGTGCTTTCACACAATCAGACTTTTTTTTTTTTGAAAGTACAATAGGAAATTAGAAGAAACTAGTAGCAAAAAAGTATGTGCAAGTGTATCTGTAAAACAGTGGGGTAGCCTATTTGGAATGTTAGGAATATTGAAAACAGTCAGGATGTTGCACTGCTGGATGCTGCTGAACATAAAATGGATTAAAGTACTGCAAGAACTACATACAAGGTGCAGCTGTATGTAAACGTGCAGTTTCAGTAAATGAAGGTATGAGGTGGTGGTTAAGTTGCACTCAGGTCTAGACACTTATTTATTATTATTCATTTCCTTTATTCCACTTAATTGTAAATGCATGTAAATTTTTTTTTTTTACATAATCTTTATTGTCAAGCTGATATTCATGGCATTTGAATTGAGAAACTGAACTGAGACGCCCTTAAAACTTCCCCAGAACCCAGAGGGTTTGGTTCTGGAGCTCTCCGTGGTGCTGACACGTTGTGTGGGTGCTGTCCGTGGTCCTGAAGCGGTCTGATCCATCCACTTATCAATCTGTGATCAGGATTTCACATTCGTCTTCTCGCATGCCCTTGTGTCGGGGTCAGTCTCGGTCTCACGGGCCGGAAGCCTTCCTTAAGTGGACGCAAAGGCAAAACCGATCCCTCTCCCCACGTATCGGATAGGCGTTTAAGGTCGCGCTCTTATCGATCGGCTCGCCACGTGCGCGGATTCCATCGCTGGCAGAGGTGAATTAATTCCACTGGTCACCCTTAAATCTGTATATGCGCGATCATTTCCCATTCACAGAGGCGGCTATTTGTGGAGCCAATCAATTAGGTCACATAAGAGAATGTTGTGCTGTGATGTTGTCGGGCTCCAGCCTCCCTCCGCTGCTCCTCCTCTCAGCGTAACGTGGCACCAGCACTCTGCCGAAGGTGTGTATTGAGTGACTCATGGCATCCATTGAATATGACACCCCTCTGTGCTCCAATCTCCACTTGGAGCATGTAAATTCAGATTTTTTTTTTTTTTAAGCGCAAAAAGTGACGTGGAATGGTGGACTGGACCAAAAAAAAATGTTATTAAAAGAAATGGGGGGAAAAAATACCGCAGCTCTTCTCATGTCTCGGCTCTGACGCCTTTGTTTCCTCTGTGGTGTCACTGGGAATCTGTGTTGTGTTGCTCGGGCTTTAGCGCAGAGCATATGGTCACACCTTGAACAGGCACCGGTGGGCTTTTTTCTTTCTTTATTTATTTATTTTTGGTGGAACGATGATGAAAGCCAGAGGAGAGGAGAGGAGAGGAGAGGAGAGGAGAGGAGAGGAGAGGGAAGAAGATCCTCGACTCGCTTTCAGGAGGGAGGGAGGAGAGAGCTCTCTTCGTCCATTAATTTCCAAATGTCTGTTGCTAAGAATAGCCTCCCCCCCACCTCCTCCCCCCATATCCACCTTCCCTAACAAACACACGCAGACTCGTGCGCGCACACTCTGACGCGCATCTACTCCACACGCGCGCCCGTGTGCGCGCAGTCATTGTCAGCTTGGGTTGCAGCTGTATCTTTGCAGGAGCTGCATGATGCCAACAGTTCCCCCCCCCTCCTCAAATCACACACGCACACTCCACCGCACGCACGCACGCACGCATCTGGCTGTAACGCTGCTGTGTCTTTTATGAAACACACACTTACATGGAAGGAAAACACAGCCTCACAGGTGCAGATGTCACCTCGGTCTCCGCACCGAGAGGCTATTTTACGCATTATTTCAAACTGATTTGGAGTCTCTAGAGGTCCATTTCACCGGGGCAGGGCTACAGCCCGGAGCACCTTAAGAGAAACAGGCGATAGACGGTGCCTCGGTCCGTGACATACGTCTGGAAGTTGGACGAGCTGCGTGCGTCATGTGCCGTGTGGCTGCAGAACTGAGCTCGTTATAGTTCACACAACGATTTCGAGCGCGGTGCGAATTTTTTTTTTATTGCTTTTTTTTACAGACAGACTCCGGCCTGAATTCCAAGGAAAACCAAGTCGGTCCCCTCCCTTTCATTTTTCTTTCTTTCTTTTTTTTTTTGGTGCGTCTCCATCCATTCACCGATCCATCCATCTGTCCACCCGTCCGTCCGTCCCTCTCCTCCTCCCCTTGGGGTTGCTGGACGAAGAGAGAGGAGGCCGTGAGAGAACCATATTCCAATGAGAGAGAGAGGAAGGACGCGCTGCCAGGACATTCGGGCTCATCGGTGCGGACCAGAGTAGACTTTTTTTTTTTCTTTTCGGGGCGGGGATGGTGAGGGACTTTCTCGGCACTGCTGCACCTCGAACGGCCGAACCAAGATCATGAGAGGGTGTAAGGCGGCGGAGAAGCGGCCGTCATACCCTTGTCTTTGACGACGCCGCCCCGTGTGTCCCTTGCTCAGCTTCTGGATGGCCGCGCAGGTGAGGGATGGAAGATGATGGTTGCAACGAGGGAGGATGCCGTTGAATTGAGAAAAACCCATCCGAAGACAACGATGACACCGACGTTTCAAGGAAAAACGGTATTTTTTCTTTCTCCTCTCTGCTCGAGATTGTGCATTGTGAAATAAGACTCGTTATTTCTTTTTTTTTTTCTTTCCTGGTCTCGAGGCTTGTCAGAGCGCACTGGTTAAACAGCTGTAAGGTGGCGGGAGAGACATTATTGCCACACACTGTATCAAACATTGCGGATGTTTTAAAATAAATAAATAATAGTAGCTTCTTTTTTTTCCTCTCCCATTTTTTTCCTAAACGCCTTTTTAAGTCTTTGGAAACGGTTTTTTCCCCCCAAAATGCCAAGTTGAACGTCACTGGCGGCCGTGGATAGCTGTAGGCTGTTAATTATTTTTTTCAGATTCATTTTTTTCTCGACAATCTTGTTTCTCGAGGCCTGTGTGACATTTGGGGCGTTGAGATTGCCGTTACATGCGATCATGAGGGTAAACAAATGAAGCGTCCAGAAAGGTGCAGGGAGCTCCGGTGCGCTCTGATCCAGGCATGAACCACGGAGAACATGAAACGTTCATGTTAACTCGCTCCAGTCTCCCCGTGGTTTCATGTTGGGGACGAATCCGGCTTTCCACGGACACGAGAGCGGACCGAGACTGAGACACCCCGCAGCACTACCCTCCGGTGCAACCAGTCAGCCAACCGACCACACATTTAATTTCCTCACACCCACAATTGGCCGTTGGCAGAGACGCGCAGAGAAGGAGACGGTACATGGGCGTCCTCGTCTGCTGAAGCCAGGAGCTGCAGAAGCGCTCGCCGGGTGCAGGTGTTCAGCATAAAGCTTACAAGACAACCCGTTGTGCATATGAGACGTTCCGATCCAGATGGGATGTAATGTTGTGTGGCTGCACAGCTGAGCATTGGTCTCCTTCTCCGCTGCTTCGTGAAGATTGGCTTTCGGTGTCCACAGAATGGCGCGGTTCGGAGACGAGGTGCCGGCCAGGTACGGCGGAGGGCCCGGCGGAGGGGGCCCGGGCGGCCGCGGCGGTAGCAGGCAAGGTGGACCCCACGGACACGGTCACGGTCACGGCCACGGGCACGGCCACGGCCATGGCCACGGTCCGCCCGGAGGCCCCGGGGCCCAGAGAATGTACAAGCAGTCTATGGCGCAGAGAGCCCGGACAATGGCCCTCTATAACCCCATCCCTGTGCGCCAGAACTGTTTCACTGTCAACCGGTCGCTGTTCATCTTCAGCGAGGATAACTTCGTGAGAAAATACGCCAAAAAGATCACCGAATGGCCATATCCTTTACCTGGCAGGGTGCAGTGGGTAGACGCTGGTTCCGTGGGCCTACAGGTAGGCCTGGTGTGCACCCAGCAGTTCAGATTGAACGCTTCTATTTTTCTCATTCCATGACCTGCAGGCTTTATATTAACGCCCTAATACCCAAAAAGAAAAAAAGAGGTGTAACAGGCAGATCCATCAATGCAGGTCCATTTGAGGTAAGCTGGTGACAGAGGCATTGCTTGACATGTAATTTATAGTTAATTAGGAGGAGGAGGAATGAAGCTGCGGCCGCTTTTACGAGGCTGTTGATCACCATCAGTCACATTTGTTAGTAATTTCATGTCACAGTGGCGTGGAACTTGCCTGATATACGTGTGTGGTGGTGAGTGTGGGGTGGAGGTGGTGGTGGTGGGGGGGTGTCTAGGGGGTGCAGCTGGTTGCTGATGTCAGCATGTGCAGTGTAGGCCCAACGCCTGGTGGAGAGAACCAGGAGAGGGGAGGTGGTGGGCAACCAAAAGAGATGAAAATAAGCAGTGTGTGTGTGTGTGTGTGTGTGTTTGCAGTGATGCACACACGTTTCCATATCAGCATGATGCAGGTGTCGTTCTAGATATGGCCTCTCTGTGTGTGTGTGTGTGTGTGTGTGTGTGTGTGTGTGTGTGTGTGCAGGCATGTAAGTGTGAATATAGCAGATATTAACTTTTTTTCTTCCCCCCATTCTGAGGCTTCTCTTAATCACACAAGATGCAGGTGTGTGACTGAATGAATGTGCCATCCTTTTTTTTTTTTTTCAAACTCTGTGTGTGTGTGTGTGTGTACGTGTGTGTGCGTGCAGTGCAGCCACCATGTGTGTTACATCTCCAGCAACCTTCTGCATTTTCATATCCCAGAAATCAGCACACGTTTGATGATCCCAGTGTTTTCATTTCCAGGGTTTGTCTGCGTGAATGCATGCAAATGTGGAAAGTGTTAATGACAAGAAGGGGGGAAATTGGAGTAATGATTATATTGATCGGCGCTGATGCTTGAGCCATGACATAACTACACACACTAATTGGGGGCCGTTCTCAGTGAAATGCAGGAGCTCCTTATAGTCGCTCTGACTCACGTCTATTCACCGCCTAAATGACAGACGTGTCGGGGAGAGAGAGCGTGCAGGGTATTTGATGTTGCATATTCATAGATTTGAAGGAAAAAAAAAAGGCATGAATAAGATAACACTTTGAGGCTTAAACACGCTGTGATGACTTACTGAGGCCATTAATTCATTTTTATTAGTAACACTTCTGCTTTTCCTAGTATGACAAGTTCTGTGAAAAAGGTTGTCATACATTAAATAAATCTTTTTTTTTTTCATTGGAGAATTAGTTTTTGCCTTTTTCCTCTTAGCATAAATGTCCATAGCCTGATGGAGGTGAGTTTAATGACCAACAAATAGGCTCAAGTGCCTTAAGAACATCTTGACATGTGTCACACTTGTAGTTTATAAAAAGAAATTTGTCACATTTTGTGCCTTTAATGGATAATGTAGCTGGAAGAAGACATGAAATGTGATGAATAGATGCAAAACCAACGACACCGAGGTTCGTGTTCAGAGCTTTGTCGCCTATAGGCTGCTATAGGACGCCTCTATCCTCAAGTTCTTTGTGCGTCATCTTGTATTTTCTTGATGATGGTGTTACATTTTGCATACCTTTCTGTTTGTTTTGTGTCTCTGCTGGTTGTTTTGCGACTCTTTGCGGCCATGTTTGCGCGTCTTTGTTGTCTTTATGCAGCGTCTCTGTTGCAGTTTTGCATCTTTTTGTGGCCATTCGTGTGCCTTTGTGGTTGATTTGCATATTTTTGCATCACTTTGTAGTCATTTCGTGTCTCTTGGCAGTCATTTTGAAGTAATACCGTGAGCCTTTGCTGTTATTTTGGGTCTCTTTAGTCCGCTGAATGACTTTCTGACAGGAAATGTTGAAAGTCTCTTAAACTAGAGGCTCCGGTCTAAGGGCCGGATCACTTTGGTCCCATGAGTCTTTGCCTGGTTGTCCCGTTCAGTAATCCATCTGTGGTACGCGTGTGATGTTCAGTGCTTGCTGAGACCATGTCAAGGTGTTCGTGTCAAGGTTTTCAATTTATCGGTCGTTTTCTAAAGCTGTGATTTGTGGTGATGTTGTTTATGGGGGTTGTAATAAATTGTGAGGTGCATCTACCCAGTATTGTGTCCTCATCCCCGGGGAATACAGGCATGTTATACTGCCTATTGCCTGTATATCATCTGTTATGGGCAACCATGTGGGTTCCAGATGACGCTCCTGAGTGGCCGTATAAGGAAAAACTAACCGGGTTAAGGTTGAGAAGACGGAACAGAATGGGTTTCATGATGGAGTGTTATTTCACAGACCCAATTTAGCAAAAGGTTCCATTAAAAACCAGAAATCACTCATTTGTTGTCCAAGATTCAGTGAGCAGATTTAATCTACCTGATTCACACTAAAAGCATTACGTCCTGCCAAATTACCGGATGTGCCGAAGCTCGAGCCAGTCGAGCCAGTCGTCACTTTGCAGATAGCGGCGTGGCGACAATGGCCGTATCAATCATGAGGTCATCTCAGGTGACTCCTGGGCCCACTGCGCCACTGTGGACCGCCAACGTGTCCACCTTCTTATCAGCTGATGTGCTCTCACACAGCTGCTTCGAACCAAACCACACCAAAACGCACGACACTGGACCGTCCTGGGGAGTGATATGGCTACTGATGGTGCATCTAGAACTTTCAAATGCACACTTTAGATAAAGAAATATAGACTGGAGCCAATAAAGGCGAGTTTCTAGTGATTATTATTTACTATCTGCAGTAAATCCCAATTAAATTTGTACTTGTGTGTCTATTTTATGACACTGTGCTCTGGATTGTCTCTTTAAACTTTGTTAAACTCGTCTCTAACTTACAACATTGCAAGAAAATAACCCACAGCAACAAAATTTGCATCAATTCTTCAGGATTTTGCAGCCGTGTGCATTTGAACCTCCATTTTTTCATCATTTCTCAGGCTCTCTGTCCCCAATTTTCAAAGATTTTGACCATTTAACGACCAGCATTGAAGTAAATATTGCTGCATAACACAGCAGCGTTCAGAACTATCAGCTGTGCCGTTCATTTCACATAAAGATCGGTAGTTGATTCATTAGAACCTGCGTCCAGCGTTTCCAGAAACGTGTTGATTTGTTAGATTCAACTGATGTTTCGCTGGATGGAGATCGAAGCTGCTTTTTTTTTTTTTTTTGGTCCGCCAGATGTGCGAGTCTCGTCGGATTCAACCACTCGGCAGAATTATGACCTGCAGCTTTATTTAGTTGTGAACTGACTGTGGACCCGTGGGAGTACCATATAAATAACTATTCTCTCACATCCACAATTAGATGCAGCAGGCCGATATTTGGTTGTTTAATTAGAATTGCAGAGTTCACTCTCATTACTGTGCCATTTATTTATAAAAAAAAAAACAAGCGGTAGACAAATGGGGCCTTGGTACGTACGATTAATGTCGGCGGTTATCTTTCGCGGGAAACGTAGCTTTAGTGCTAAACTTAGAGCTAAAGGAAAGATGCAATCAAATCTTTTTTGTTTGGAATTGGTGCACACATTAAAGATAATTTAACTAAAGCTTACACACCATGCAATAAACTTGATTAACAAATTTTGTCTTGTCTGATGAGAAGAAAAAAAAAAACAGACAAAAGATTCATTATTCACAAGCTGATATGTGACTAATTGGGATGCCATTTTATAGGTAAAGCAACTCAGTTCAACAGTGATTTAAAAGAAATTTAAAGAAATATTAACAGTCTGTGCAGCTCAATGTATGTTCACTTCACTTTTTAAAGTAAAAAAGTAAGTTAAGAGAGTTATTTCCTGCACCTAAAGTGTTTAAAATCTCCTTTATGTTACAGATAGTGGATGACTAATACTATCTATATTAGGAGTCACTGTGCTTCTTTCAGGTCTGATTCCAAGACCAGTGATCAGTTATCAAGAAGACCAATAACAGATATTTATAATCAGTTAATGTGTAAAAATCAAAACCTTAAAACTTTACGATAGTGTGAGCTCCGACCAACACTTTGTTGACATGTTTGTTTATGTTTTCTGTGTGATCGGACCTCAAGAGCACAAAGAGAGACGCACCTTCATCTGAGCCATTGTAGCGCATTTCTGTATAATTCTTTATCAAGATTCTGAAAAAAATGAGTCAAATGATGAGTATCTACAATCTGAATTCACGTCGGATCGCCTGAGAAGAAAACAGAGGTTTTGTTTTGGACTTGTAATTACTGCACAGATGGCGAATGTGCTGCTCGTGTCCTGATAATGTGCTCAGAAATAACATATAATGTTACATACGGGGGGGAAGTTGAAACTAAATGGGTCATCCTATAGGCCCTTAGAAACTAAATCCCTCTTTCCCTGCCGTACTGATCTTTGACCCGAGCTGCCTGTTTGACCTTGTCCAGCTCACGTCAGGCGTCGCTCACTCGTGTCTCCTGCTGATGCGCCCATCCACTGGTTTGCTTCTGTGTAAATATGTTTTGAGTGTCAGCAAATTCCTACTGTACACCTCTGTAGGACGCTAAATGTACAACCTGCAAGCATATGCGCACACACATGCAGGCCATATGGTGTCGTCTGCGTCATCAGCGTACTCTTAAGTGTTTTTTCCCCTGTTGTCGTAAATGGAGAGGAAGTCGATACGTGTTCTATCAATAGCAGCACTGAGCTCAATATGAAACACAACACAAGTGATGTGTGTGTTTTTAAAAATAACCACCCATTCAGAATACAAATAACTGGCAGTTTCCTGCATTTTCATCATTGCCAGAAAATCAGCAACAAGTATCGCCCGTGCGTCCAAAGCACAGAAACTTGTTTGGAGTATTGTGTAGACGACATGTTGTTGTCGGTCCTCTACATGCTGTGGCTTCATTTCTAGCTCCGCATATGATCCTGGAATCAATGAGAGCTCAGAT